AGGAGGAGGTGGAGGAAATATTGGTGGCTGGTGTGGATGAAGGGAGCCAAGGCCTCGCTTCCGGTAGCGAGTCCATGAAGGCCGAGATGGTAGCCTCGTCCACATCTCCAAGTCTGAGCAAGAGCTAGTAAGTGACCGTGGAATACATCGGATAAAGCGGGTAGCCATACCTCATGTCAGTTGACACTTCGTATGAACTCCAATCCACATCGTTGCTAATATCCCCAGTATGCGGGGCCGAGAATGTAAAAGGATATGAGCCACTAGGCTCCCCAACGCCGAAATTTGTCTCAGAAAAATAGGACGATGAGGCCATGATGCAGGGAAGCACGATGAGCTGCGAAAAATGAGTAAATGTAGAGTCGAAGGCGGGATTGCAGTTTGGAAGGCAGAGCGAATGTGGGGAAAGGGCGCGCTTTGGCCTCCCTTAAATAATGTGGAGGATTCATTTCTTACGAAACTAGAGGCATGCCACAAGCCGTATTTTCGGATGCCGATGAACCATCGCCCGCAAAGCACCCTTCCTAAGTCAGACAAGAAAAAGCGAAGTGCGGCTGTGGATACGCTTCATGACCCTGGATCTATGCAGGGAATGATGGGATTTCATTTAACTTGGTGTGACGAGACGAAGACAATGCAAGGCCTCGCCTACGACTCCCGTACGCGTGTTCTCGGTTCTCGGAGTTTTTCCCGAGTGGCCCTCAAACGCCCGCCGAACTCGGTTTTGATCCGCACAAGTGACTTCCAAGAAGGGCGAAAGGGATAGACTGGCATGAGTAGAGTTATAATTATCCATTCGTGCAATCCACCTTGGAGTAAGCCAGCTTGCGAGGATCTTCAAATCGTACACCTGATTCAAGGAAGAGTAAAGCCTCGCGCATGCAGATGTTTGTCCACACGGGGTACGGAATATTCGGAGCCTGCAATTCAGGACACCGTCCACACGGAAGAAGATTCTCCCAACGAGTTTAGTTCGACCTGAACCGCCTGACAAAAAAACACGGCAGCCGCACGGGCTGCCAAGGTCTGGTGCTGCTCTCGTAAATGAGATACTTTCCCCGCGGAATCCGCAAGTACAGTCACGCCGCATCGACAACCGTCCTCGCGGCATATTCTGCATATTCATGAGCATGCCTCCGAATGCCACCCGGACGAATGGCTAGGACGATGACCTCCTAGTATGTCACATAAATGCATAAGTGGAACAGCGGCTCGGCCGCAGAAACCTCCTTGACCTAGGTCGTTATGTCCAAATGCCATGCGCTTGACCCGGCAACCGAAACAGTCCCTGAGGTCATTCGTGCCGTGCCCTCAAAGGAAACCCGAGGGCAGGCCAGAAGCTCGTCGATGTTTGTCCGCACGGAACACAGCACATTCCCTGTGCCCCAGAACGCCGACGGCCCAGATGAAATTTCCTCAAGCGAACCCAAATACACATCCGACAGAAGTTTCCGGCAGCCGCAAACGCTCCAAGGGTTTGTTGCCCTGCCCTCCCCAAGATTAGATCTGCTTGAACAAAGCAAAGCGGCATTCGGCGAGGTATCCGGTCATCGAATTGATCCAGTCCACCCACTGTATCATCCCACCAAGCAGGGACGTCCTCATTTGGCCGATGCCTTGATGCCCTTGTTCTCAATTTGGAAGGCCATCCCTGGGTTATCGCGACGTGGTGTCGCTTAACGTGGCGCACTGCATGCCACAGTACCCCATTGGCTCGCCCTTGGATACGGATGTCAGTGGCCGTGAGCAGAGTCTACGGAACGCACCCAACGAGAGGCATCATCTTCCGATTGGCCTGGGAGCTCCTCGTCGACTGATGCTGAGCCTGGGGACCGTGGTCTCGACAGAGCCGCCGTCTGCGTCTGCGTCATACATGCTCGACTTCGTCGCCGCCATCGGCTCTTCCTCGAGTCCACTGCCTCGCGTGACAAGCTCGGCGTCGGGGACGACGGGCACAAGCGTCACGCGGCCCCCGTCGTGCACGCACATGGCGGCACTCGTTCCCATAAGTGGCCCCATACGCGCCTGACATACCGTCGAGTGGCGTGGTTGATGTTTCTCCAGTGGCATCGACGTTCGCTCTCTCGCCTTCTACGACCTGTATGCAAGAGCTCTTTGACTTCAGTGTTGATGACATCCTGCTTGTGCTGTGCAACGATTGAAACAACCCATCCTCCTCTGACAGGCTCAAGGATGTGGACG